AGACAGTGTTCTCGACATTATGAGAACAAACCCTCTCGTCGGCGAGCTATCATGGTGGTTAGCTAGATGGTCGGTGGCTGGTCGGTACACCCTTTCACATTTAGCCCCGGACTCGTTACGCAGCTCGAGGGCCGCGAGCATTGAGTTACAGTTAACTTTAAGTTACCCTGAAACTTCCCGTCTCGGAACTTCCGGAAAACCGCCAAACGGACGTCTGCTACACGTTCCCGGAGAGGTCCATTTCCTCCCTGTGGAAACCCGGAGGCGGAAAAAGCGGAGAACGAAAGGCGAGCCAGTATTTATTCAATTCTTTCCGATTTTCTATTCTCGTGCTCGCTGCGATATCAGTTTTAAACCGATACCCATTATCTCGAGTTAAAGCAGATTGATCGTTACAGAATCGGAACGAAGCTTAATAAATAATCTCGTCGTGGAATTATCTTTTTGAGCCATCGACAGAGATGCGATCCTTGATAATCAGGTTAATCAAAATTTCAATAATTTGATTAATGTGAGGCACGGATAACGCAATAGATTACGGATTTCGATGTCAGCTCCAATTTTATGTAAGCATATTAATAAGATGCAACACTTGACAAATTTACCCATAAAATACTGACTTTTCTCTGCACAGTTTACGTCATATCGACTGCGCAAAATTGCAAATGTTATTACGCAATATAAGTATGTACAAAAACTGATTGTGACATTATACAACACCTGACAGAAACGATGCATCATAATTATTACTTATTTACTTTCTACAATTGGTATAAAAAGACTGGTAGTGAAGATGGATGCAGAATAAAACGTAGTTTTAATCGGGATTAAAAAACTAAAATCTCAAATAATAGTTTGTGCATCATTCTTATCACACTAACATTAAGTAAAGAATCAAAATAATTCTTTTGGGTATCCAAAGTAAAATAATTCATCACAATATCATCAATGACTTCCGTTACTCTTTCGATGTATTCTACTTTAAAAATAATTGAGAATCACGAAAAATATTATATTTTTTGAGTGTTATATTTATAGCTTAAAACAAGATTTGGTTCGTAAACCACGAGAGATAGAAATGGTGACAACGAGAAAACCTCAAAGGAGTCAAAATGACTCCATTGGGCATTCTAGTGTTAAAGCATCCCCTTAACCGTTTGAGTTTCACGGGTAGTTGCAAGACACAGATTTGAGAAAAATGCCGTATAGCACGATTGCGTTGTTCCTTTTTCGTTTCGTTTTTCATTTATTTTCTATCAAATGTTGCAATACAGACTATGAATGATTTAGGTTTAGTAAGACCTTTTAAATTTATAACATTGATGCGCTGCAATAAAATCCGAGTTCTATAAAGCGTATTGCAGCAATGGGCTGGCACTTTTGGATTGGGATCAGAGCAGCGCGCGCGCGCGCGCACACACACACACACACAAACAGTTAAATATATTACGTATAATATAAACGTTATAAATTTGTTTATGTGCGTGTGTGTGTAAATATGTATTCTGAAACGTGTGCCAACGCGTGCAGACGGGATGCTGCGGTTGTTAAGGAAATACGCAACGAATGGTACAATAACACTACATAAAATATGGAAACTTCTCGTCGATAATAAACAGCACGGCTTTATTAGCCCAATGTTTTCGCGTGAGTAGCATTGTTACGAAGTGCGCGCGACAAAATTTCATTCGGTTGTTTTTCAACGTTTTCTGTATGTGTTTATCGAAATCCTGTGTGTTTGATGCGTCGCTGGTTTTTAGTCAGTCGAGGATTCACGGACATACTCAAATTCCAATACTGTCACCAAAATGAAAGGCGCGCGTTCGCGTAGAGATGCAAATTGAATAATAAGCCGGATACTTTTCTCGCGCCGTTAAGGCATTTTAATTCGTCGAATAATAATTAATACTTCAATCGGCCGTCTAGAGAGATCTCGCTCTTAAAAAGTAATTTCGGCTCGCTCAGCATGAAAATTATTATGCGAGGGGTCGCAAGATACGAAGAATAAAACACCCTACCACCCCCGCGGAGCGCGTTGTGGGAGCAGGCAGAAAGAGGGCTGGCGGGAGTCGGCTGTAAAAAGAAAACGAGTTTAGGATCCCGATGGAAGGAGCGACGGCGCACGGTGCAGATTCTAAAATACGAGAGCTATTAGCCGTAGTTTCCCATGAGCATTACCTTCCCTTATGTGTAAATGATGCAACTCTACGTGACGCACCGCTCGACGTTCGCGTTCAATCTGTACCAGGGATTGAAAGCGTCAAGAAAATAACTGCATGGAAATTACTTTACACAAGATTCGCTTTTAGACGAATATAAAAAGGTAAAATAATGATCCTTTGAAGGTAAAATAATGATCCTTAGAATAGATTCTAACAATTCTTTTGAGAAAGAATCAAAGCAGCATTTTATCTCTGCCGCAAAGACACAAAAAAATACACACTGCATTCAGTTTTACTCGTTTTAAGTGTTTTCACAAATTTACTTATCCGCAAATCTATCATAAATTCATCCTAAGCATTAAATCTATTTGAAATACATTCTGTATCTTAGTAAGTTTAACATTTCAGTCGAGAATATTAAATTAGAATAATATTAAAAGTATAATATTATAAAAATATATATATAATAATATTAAAAATAATATTTGATATAATATTCTTCTGACGACAATAAATTCTCTTTCCCTTTGAATACATAATAGGCTTATCTAAAATTTATAATGAGTACATTTTGAGATTAATATGAAGAAAATATTTTTATTGAAGATAATCATTACTTAAAAGAAGAAAAGTAAACTAAGTAGTTGTTTTATTAGCAATTTATAATGAATGTATTTCGAAATTAAAAAAGTAATGAAGATAATCATTACTTAAAGGAAGGAAAGTAAACTAAGTAGTCACTTTGCTTAGCAATAGAATGATATTTTTCTCGGGTATAAATTATCATTTGCTTTGTTATTTTAATGCTGCGATATTTAGCAGTGTACGACGAAAGATATAAATCATGAGAATTGACATTCAAGATTACTCGTCGACCTCTATAACGGAGCAATGAACAAAAGGAATGCTAACACGACGATTTTTCAGCTCTCTCTCTTTCTACGTACGTATGTGTACGTGTGTGTCGTTAAAATTTCAAAACTTCAGGGATTTTTAGTTGAAATCCCGGTTTCATATCCATTGCTCGTGCAACCCGCACTCGCAAATGCACACGTACGCGCGGCCGTTACGCGTATGTAAGTCATGGTGTTGCAAGCCTGGGTGAAAACGCAACAAGCGAGCGCGCCGGCCGGCAGTAAAGGGACAATGCGCGAGCAATATGTTCGCTGTTTAAAGGCACGATGCGTGCCTTGAAATTTATGCCTCACGGGGGACCTGCTAAATTTCGAAACTTTGAAAGTCCAGGCGAAAAGCATACATCAGCAATCTAACGAGTTTGAGTTTCAACGGGCGAGCTATCGTTGCATCGTTCGGGCGCCCTGTGTCAGCTGCAAATGTTAGCTCACCGGACAAATATTTTTCTCGTACGGCATGGTACGGTTATCTTAATTAAACAAAAACTCGCTGTTTGATTTGCAGTAGCGTACATATTTGAAGCGGGTAACGTGTACACCAGGCGTGTCGACATCTCCCTTTGGAATAAAATAATCATTCTGGCAACGAGAACGCGCGCACCGAGTAGCATGATCATAAATTACGAAAAAGATTCGCCGAGCGAGTTCTTTCGCTATATTAGAAATGCGAGAGCGACCGTGTCGCTGCGCGGCGAATTGCGCCTCGCGCGCAAAAAACGCTCGAATGCCGCTTCCGCATAAACAACATCTGCGGAATATTCAGAATCGATGAATTCCGGGGAAATGGGAAATTACCTCGCCCGACTGTTTCTACGTTTTTTGCAATATTGCAATACGCGCGCCGTAACGAGATAACTAAAACAAAAGCTCGCTTGTGCCAGACGAAAACGGACCTTCATTTTCCCCATCTCATATCAGCGCCACCGACGCAACCCCGCGCACTCTGCTCTTCATTTCTCGCCAAACCCATCCCCTTAGCACATTCTCTCCATTCTTTTTTTATTAATTTCTATATCCCCGCTCTCTCTCCCTCTCCCTCCCCCCCTCTCTCTCTCTCTCTCTCTCTTCCAGAGATATAGCGCTATCGGTGGACGAGTGCCAAGAGGAGGTAAAATTTGACTTTGAATTCCCGGAGCGTTCATCGTTCTGCCGCTGTCCTTTTTCCCTTCTTTCAACCACCACGCGCGTCCGCGGCACTTTCGCTTCTTTCATCCGTTATCTTCAGAAATAAAAGTTGTATGCGTCACTACCGTTATCGCCCGGCCGTTATCGCTAGGTTCAGAAGCACGTCGACGTGCGCGCACATTACATGCAGTGTCGCATAAAAAAAAGGTGAAAAAGGAAAAAAAAACACGGCGCCCGACAAACGGTGAAATTGAATTACCGCGGATACCAGAGAACCAACGTGAACCGACCGCGGAAGTCCTCGACAATAAAACGGAATTTAGAGCCCGAACTATAGTTCTCTTCCTCTCGCCGATATAGCTCGATTTTATAGATCTGAGTGACGGAAAGCGATTTCGACGGGTTTCATTTTTAAATGCCCGACAAAGGTTGATATTTTTATGCACTTAATGATTTGTATGTTTTGTTTGTACCGCGATCTCGTCAAGAGACGAGAATGAGGAATTTAATATTATGCTTTTACTCTTTCTCTCTCTTTCTCTCTCGATATTATTAAAGTGTTTTGTATAAAAGACATAACGTAAAAAGATATCGAGGTAAGACATTACGTCGCGAGCTCTCAAGTAATAAGAAGTGTTATCAATAATTTTCCGACTGACATACTTCCGGGTGAAGTGGAGCGCTCGAAAGCTTCTTACAATAAATGTCGATCACGCTGTAATCGAGCCGACCACAAACATCGACAGCTCCGTTTTCGTTCAACGAATGCGCAATGACATATCGGCAGTTTCACACTTACAGAAGATCAGCAACAACGAGGGGTATTCTTCGCTGCCATTACTCCCGCTGAGGAAGAAGAACCACTGCCGAGGATCGACTCTGATCCCGTATCTGCGACATAAAGTAAAAGTAGAAACACTTTATTTGAAATGTGTTAATTTTAAGTAAATTGTTGTGTAATGCACACGGCTTTTCTATTAAATGACGCAGTTTACATGATGATTGCAATCGTTTGTAATTGGCAATATTATTATTTATCTTGGAAAATATAGGATAATAACAATGACAAATGCATCATGGTATATTAATTACAATACAGTGAATAAATAAGCAGTAGAGAGAGACAAAATTAAATTATCAGTCCGATTTTCAAACGACTAAATACAATATTTGGTATGAGAGACGTTAAAAACGGACTGATATTCAATCATGATAATTCAATTATGTCTTGTTGTAATACGAGCAAAAAATTAATAAGGAGAAGGAATAAATGCGAAAGTAAGATACTTATAAGATATACACTAATTCTGCATTATAATCTGTCTCCAGTCCTGCGATAGTAACCGAGATGCAAACGCTTCGTTACTATAATGAGTCTGTTTCCAGTATGATCTTTCTTAAGGAAAGTTGATTCAGAGAGACACAAGAAATAAAGGAGCGTATCGCTCGCCTTCTTCCTTCTTAGGATAAATAACCATCGCACCGCCACTACGCAAAGGGGAAAGCCGCGCTCTGTGAAATAAAACGACCTTTCCAGGAAGGTCGACTCACAATAGAAATGTGGGAAACGTCTGTCCCGTGATTGACTGCGATCTTGATTCGAATCTGTGATTTATTTAGATGGCACGCGGCAGAAAATATTATAAACGGTGGCAGTCCGCTGAATCGTGTCGGATTATTTATTGGCAATTTCGCGAAATGACACTTCGTGCGCGCGCGCGTGCTTAATGCACACACACACGAATCATACATTAATTTCTGCATGTAAATCAAATAGCGCTGTGGAAACAGCACGCGTCTGATAACAGTAATAAACAAATGAAACGGGATAATGTTGAACAAATTACCATGTTCGATTAAGTCGCGTGTATTCATAAGCGTAATGAAAGAAAGAACGTATCGGTCGGAAAACCAGAATGTACAAGGAAAATTTACATAAAAGTGATATTGCAGGTACAAACGGGTCGTACAACAAGCGCGATCAATCCTCCGGATTGGAATGAACGAAATTTATTTGGCAACTTGCCGAGCATAGAATTGCACAATCGTTCTTAAAGCTTCCAATCGTTTCACAATAACAACCGTGACTACCGCCGGGATGAAACCCATCCCGACCTTCTCCCCTGTTCGATTTGAATCTGACCGTTATCCATAATAGCAATCGATATAAACAAAACTGTTCCGTTCGGTCGAGAAGCTATCGCCGTTTAATCCAGAAATGGCGCGATAAAACAAAACTCCTGCGATAGGTACGCCCTGTGCATAATGGCGATGCAATATAATCAAGACTGTCGCGGCCAATGACGATAATCTGTAAATAATGCGCGAAGGAACATTACTTTTTCGTTTATCTCTCGGAATACACGAATTTACTCGCAAACTTGCGTCATTATCGTGCCCGTGGAAATAAATTTTATATATCTTATCGCTATATTATACCTGGGAACGCAATTTGCGTTTCGATAATATCGATCTAAGCCATCGAGAACATTATTTTCTCGCGGGACATACGAGGTAGGTGTACCAGTCGAAAAAAGGTAGTGTACACTAATGGCTTTGGGTCGTATGTGGCCGCTAACGATGATAAACGACGCTTCTGGGTCGAGTAATTAAAGTATTCGAAGTGGGTGCGGTTGTTACAGAGAGAGAGACAATATTTATTGGGACGCAATCACTGACATGGTTCTCTGCGAAAACGCTATCAGTCACGTCGACATGGTTTACAGTAATTGGACGGTAGCGCGGAGAAAAATACGACTTCCGTTTATAATTAATCGTTATGTGCTGTGTGACAGCTGATCGGTGATAATTTACGAAAACGATGTAACCTCGAACAATATACACCGCGTCACTAATAATGTAGGTCCCCGATATCGCAACATTTCGACCAAATTAAAGAATACAAAGGTTTATGCTTTTGAGAATAAAACGAAGAAAATAATTTAATATTCAGCATAATTTAATTTCAAGTATGTGAAAATATATATGTATCCAATTGTATTCAATTTTGATACACCAAAAATATCATCCTTAATCTTATCGTTAATGGAATCCTCAAGAGAATTCTTCTAAAAGAAAAATCTCACGAGAATTTCTCTAAAACCAACAAGGAAATATTCTCAGCACAATATTATCCCTTTTCATTAGAACAGAAATGCTCTCTCAAAGTTTTTTCGCTTAGAATATGGGATTACAGGAAATAGCATCTTATAACTAGAGTTTTTTGGAGGGAGGAAGTCCCTTAAAATATCCTTCTAGTTAAATTTCCTTCTAGTTTTAGAAGAATCCACGTAAAATTTTGAATTATTAATCAAAGAAGATCAAGAGTGACATGAGCTGTGATGGCCACGTCTGCCGTTGTATATATTGGGTGAAAATGTGAACAGAAAAATCCTTTATCATTTTGTAAATGTAACCATAGATTTTTAACATTATAACGCACCAATCTTCTTTAACTAATAACTAAAAATCTATGTGATCATTTGCAAAATGATAGAGGAATTTTTTGTTTAGTTTAGTCTAATGCACGAGCACACGACAGCAGATATCACTATCACAGCTCATGTAGTAAAGGAATTTTGTGTTCAGTTCAATGAGTTCTATCTGTATACAGCGACTGCATACCGAATTGTCAGACACTCTGTATAAGAAAATTCTGTTAAGGATGAGATAATATTTTTTTACGTGTAGGAATTAAGAGGCGGAATATCAGGCACCTTGCTATGTTCTGGTGGCATGATCAATACCAGAACTATCAGATTCACCGAAGAAAAAAGAGTATTACTTGTTCTGCCCTACCCCGTACTCAAATATTCATTTCAGAGGGATGGAAACATCCTGGAAAGGAAACAATCGTTCAACGCTGCCGATGATTAAATCGATCCTACTTCGATACGCGTATACACATCGCGGAGGAGTCTCATAAAACATTCTTCGAGTACTTGAAAGTTGGGGGATATCGCACTTATCGAAACTCATCGCTCCGAGGCGTGAGCAGAAACGATATTAAATTTCTTTCCCGGCGGGAATAGCCGTCTTGATCCGAGAGCGCCCGTTAAATCCACGCTCGTTCTTCGCCCGCCGGAGTTCGTTAATACAGCGTCACGATAAAATCCCCAATTCCACGTCGAACGTGGTGAGGAGGGTCGCCGGGGTGACTCCAGGTAGGAGGGAGAGAGAGAGAGAGAGCGTGCGCGCGGAAATCCAGATTGGAAGAGTTATGGCGCCAATATGGAACGGGCCCGAATGAAAATGTGGGCGCGAACGGTTCGCATTAAATATTAATAAAACGCGCGCAGCGAGACGTCTTCCTCGCTTCTACGATTGTAAAGAACGTAGGAGATGATTCTTCTTTTCCGAAATTAATGGCAGAGCCTGAAGGCTCGTTTCAAATGTCGGATTGGCCCAGCAAGATGAGATGGATTGTTCTTGAGGAGATACGAAGGGGCTGTGTGTATGTGTGTGTATGTATATATGTCCCTGTAGGGAGGACGTGTGACTTAGTTAATTTATTTCAATATTTATCTGGATAAAATTCGCGCGAAGCGACGCAATTTATATTGCGTTTGAAGCCCATTGGTAGGCAGTACCAATTTATTTGCTTCAATTGATTTTCGAGAATTGATACGTGAATGCGTGATCTTGCTAGAGCGAAGAAGGGAATGCCAAAATGAATGACGAACTTCAAAAATGTTGACAATGTCGAGGCGATCGTCAAAATGTCAAACATCAAACGTCAACGGCATATCAGATAAGCACCAATACGATCACGCTGCCTTTTCATATTTCTCGTGTATGCAGAGATCTTACATAAATGTATGGTGCTTTGTTTTCCTGAACGGAACAAACATACATATACAACTTGCAAAACTTTTGTATCAGGCAAATATTTACACCAAGAAACGAAATGTTAATTTTGAAATGCTTTATCGTTTTCGTCATATATCGAACGATGCTCCAATTCGTTTTCGCATGTGCTTGCATTGTGTAAAAGCATTAGGAATTCTATGCAAGTAATACGACGTAAACCGTGCGGAAAGAAGTCGGTAATATTTTGTCGGTAAAGTTTCTCAAGTATGGCACATCTCAAGACGTATGAATTGAAGGATTCTAATGCATCTTGGAAATACAGTATTGAAAAGCTACAAAAACGGGAATATATAAATTATCCAAAATTTTCTTAGGATAAAATTTTATCATTTATATTGTATTTAAAAGTGATAAAGTCACCAGATTTAGCAATATCGGCGAAAACTGCCGTCAGACAGGAAATCCGTGTACCAGTCGCGCGCCACTCAGTCGAAAATAATTCAAAATGGTCGACGAGGACGAGTCATGAAATAACACACGTCCAGAGTACAGACGGATCTGAATGCACAAATTATGACTGCATGGCAGTTCAGTGAAAAAGTTTCACGAGCTATCTGCATAGATACGAGAAACAAGAGAGCAGAAACTTCAGCATCCCCCTGTTTCCACCCTCACGAGCTTTTATCGATAACGGTGGAGCTTTTCGTCGGGAGTTCGATTAATTGAGCTCTCTTCGCTACCTTTCTCTCACCTCGCGCAGAAGCGCTTCGCTTTCTTACCGACATGTTTTTTTCGGTCGCCAATCTACTCTCCCCCCTCGCCCTCCCCGCACTGTCGATTAATCTCGATCGCAGTGGAATCGTGTTGACAGCCTTATCCTCGCGACGCGGCCACGTCTCGCCGCTTGTTCTTATTTCTCGTGCACATCGAAGCGTCTTGCCGATGAATCATTCGCACAAAACGCAACGGCTTGAAATAGTTTCCGCCAAAGTGCTCGATCAGAAAACCTGTGAGTCAATAAGGTGTTCGTATGCGTAATTTTTCAGTCGATTGAAGATCGGCCTTATGCCGCGCGAGAAAAC